CTTGGTTTGTTTCAGCCCGTATATTTTCATTCTATGAAACAATAAGAATAAATGTAATAATGTCATCAGTTCTGTGAGTATTCATACTGATCAACAAACTTGAGGGTTGTTTACAAAACACCAGGAGATGTCTGTCCCTTTTACTACCTTCTGCATACATCATGCATGCACTATAGTTATGCAAGATATCACTGAGAGAAGCTGGGTGAAGGTGAGATAATTGCTACTTTTTACAACTGCCTGTGATCTTATAATGAATGATCTCAAAACAAAACACTTAAAAATAGCTCCTAAATATCTGCATTACACATGCATTTCATTTTGTATAAATTATATAGCAAATTGAATTAAAAATTTCTGAATTTTGCCCAAACATCCAAAAACAGAGCTACTAAAAGATTCTACAAGTTTCAGTAAAAGGAAAAGATTGAAAAAACTTATTATTTCTTTGTTACAAGCATTAACTTACTTTATTATTAATTTATTTGCCATTTATATAATAGCCAGAAATATTTATGCATTATCTTCATCATGGAAAGTTTTTATGAAAATCAATGTTTCCACTAGGTTTTATATTTTCCCCAAAGACTCCCCAGTTTCTGCCACAAATAGATTTTCATAGTTCAGCTCCATTGTGTTGCCAGAAGTACTGAAATATGGGGCAAAATTAGTTAAATATAAATCAGAAATACATGCTCAAAATAAAGCATAAGTTTAATAACCTCTACACAGTCAACAAAAAATGTCTTTACTAAGTGCCTGTTTAATGCTAATATTGTATTGGGAACTGCAGAAATTAAGAAATTATTACAAAATAAGATCTATGCCTTCCTGGACCTTATAATAGCTTTGATATATGCTAGCTATGTGATGTTTGTTGTTTCTTATACTTGCTCTTATCAACCAAGAATATAACACATTGATTAAGTTAAACAACTGTAAGAGTGTGCATGCCAACTAAAAAGTTTTAAATTCTACTTGACATACAGGAAGTTTCATAAACTACAACAATTTTCTCATGTTTTGACTCATCTACTGAACTATTCATTAAATTGTGTAAATACATCATCTTCTAAATGATTTTGCCAATGGACTCTATCAATCTTCTTTAAGATTTTACTTTTACTTTAACAAATGTAAGTTATTAGATGTGTATTTTTGTAAAATATAGCAGTTCACTTAGGCCACTAATTACTTCATGTGTTAATTATTGAACAGATTATTTTCTGCAAGGATAGAAGACTTATTTTAGAAAGTGAGTATCAATACTTCATTCTTCATAGAAATGGCTTTGCTCTTATCATAAGATTCAGATATTATGAATGAGCTGTTCTAAAAGTGAATAATCTGAGTTAATAGAAACATATAGAATATACTGCTACAAATGTTTCTGAAGTAAATTGAGTAATCACCATTTCAATTAAAGCTAACATATAAAGTATGTTATCAGAGATTTATCTAAATAGTTTCTGAAGGGACATTAAATTTTCTAATTAATATATTATAAAGAGTCACTGGTTTTCTTCCAAATTTCTTGGATGGATATGATTCACCTATTCCATTCTATACTTTCTTACTCCCCACTACTATCTCTCACTCTCTTTAGCTCTTGCTCTCTGCCTTTCTTGTTTTCTCAAACACACACACACACACACACACACACACACACACACACAGCCTCACCACTAAAAAACTCAATCAAAATTAGCTAAGTGCTGTATGTCAGTAGCATTAATTTACTAATTTTGAATATAGCCTGTGTTTTATATCACAGATGCTAGATATTCGCTATGTGCCTATTATGTGTCAACTATTGTACATCTCTTTATCTTCAAACAAGATTCAAAGGATTTATTTTACTCATTTTAATAATAAATCTTTGAACAAATTAGCATAACTATTTTTATCAGTCTGGGTTATGAAAGAAAAATTCAAGGTAAAACCCAGTTTTTCCCTTGCACTTTCCATACAGAAATATTTGTTGTTTTAATTGATGACCTCAGTATGTCTGGCTCTTATGAGATTGTAGAGTTGCATAAGATAAGGCAAGCTGAAAGTTGCCTAACCTACACAGTCAGATATTTCTTAAGATAAATGTGACCCACCTAGTAGGATAATAATTTCCATAGAGGGCTTCATTAAAATAAGCTATGAACATGCTGCAGTGTTATCACCAGAAGAGTAAAATAGTTTTGCTATACTGAGAAATGGTCACATCAATGTCTACTCTGCATTACTTAAAAAATGTAAAGCAAATCATATCACTTATTTGACAGTTAAGTTTCTTTTACCTATCCGTATAAGAATTCCATTTAATACCCATACTAATTACCACTATTTTCTCTAAAAGACGTGCAGTGATATATGATGTTTAAATACTTTATAACTCTTTCTTTCTTTCTTTGTTTTTGTTACCAAGGATTGAACTTGGGTCCTTGTACCTGCAGGGCAGGTGGTGGAACCACTGAACTAAATCCTCAGCCCTAACTTGTACTTCTTATGCAAAGTTCCATTAATTCTGTGAACATATATGTAGATTTTTGTACATATGAAATTTGAGTACTTGTTGTATGGTATGTAGATAAATATTTACATATATAAATTCTATATAACTTAATTTTAAAGTAACATGGATAATTTAGTTAATTTTAAAAACATGTCTGAATCTATTATGTATTTTTACCCATAATTATTTTGTCAGATTGTGCTGTTCACTTAATAAAATTACCACAGTTTAACTTATGTACTTTGTTCAATATTTGGCCCTCCAAAAAAGTACAAAAATACTAAAAAGTTTGAAGCATTAAAAATATATGAGTTGAACTTAGCTTTTGCAAAGGGTAGAGATAGAAGGACAATTTCCAGAGAAAAAGTAGAGGTGATTACAATCTTCTGGTTTGATCCTATTATTGGGTGAATATAGATTAATGTACTGTCTTCATTGTACTAATGTATGATGCATGATCATGATTACTGGGGTAATTTAGAAACAGGATGCCTTTAATCTTCTGCTCATATCAATCAATTGCAATACATAGGTTATAGAATGTTCCATGATTTTACACTAAATAATTAATAGAACTAATCTTAGAGCTAAATGAGGCTGGGAAAAAATGAGATACCCACTCATATGTAAGACAAACAATGGAACATTAACTAGCACATGATTTGTTAACCAATTCAAAAGAAGATAACTCTTAAGTTATAGGAAAATAGGAATTCACTTTTACTTTTCAAGAAAGAAAATAGAATCCCAAGCTTTCCAGACTTAATATCCTGTAAAAGTTAGTATCAGAATCACAAATAAAAACACAATTCAATTCATTTCTGTATATCAATACATTTTGTGATATGACATATAAATATTGTATTTCAAAATGTATTTGGGCATTGCTATTACCTTAAAACGTTTATTCATTGTTTCATGTCGTGTAAAGAAATTATTAGCCATATGACATTACCATAACTTACTACTGTATTATTATACTATGAGAACTTACCTACAGTGAGAACTCACACAAGAGACCTTAATTACAATCCACAGTTTATTCAGATTCCCCTGGAGAACTGATGTGCTTTAGGAGGAGGGTGAACTTGGGTTTAGTTAAGAAGCCAAGTAGAAAAAAAGTGTTTTAGAAATGGGACGAAAACCTTGTTTTGTGTTTCTGTGGGCACTTGATGAATAGACTGGTTCATGTGGACACAGGGGGCCATTTGCCTGAGTTTGGTTCTATTGTTCCTGGTTGGCTGGAGGCAGCGAGCCATTGCCCACAGCGGTGACCGAGTCGGCACCATGGACAGCTCCACACTTTAGCTCCTGGAAGAGGAACTCTGCGGAAATACAAGCCTGGCTGTAGCAAGCAAGCAAATAACAGAATGAGCTACTTTATAAGAAAAGGGGGAAAATCAAAGCTGCTCATTGGAGGAACGTGTCTTTTTTATATTTTGAGGAGGGAGAGATGTCGGAAGGACTATTGCATTAAATAAGGCGATAACATAATAGAAGAAAATGGAATTAAAAAAAAAAACACAACTACCTAAACATTTTAAAAACACTCGACCCAAAGCATAGGTTTTTATTTTATTTCCCAAGTCAACACTGCTATTTGAATGGAAATGTTGGTATACCACGCGAAGCCCGCGTTGGCATTCTCTGACAAACTAAAACGAAAAGGACTCTCTATGCTGCCCTTTGAACAGCTTCCTGTTCTGTAGGAGAGGATGCCTTAGACTGGTAGAGAAGAGCAGAATTGTGCGGCTCTTGTGTTCAGGACATGAATGGTTGGAGGAGGTCACAGCCAGGCTGCTAACTCTAAGCCCCACCCACCTTTTGTTCCTCACCCCTGGTGCCCAGTCTTCCTGTTTCAAGCCTCTCCCTTGTTCAGCACTAGTCGCTCACTGAGTCTTTTGGCTTTCTCATCTTTCTTTCAGCCTTCTGCACCTAGAAATACAACCATCCCTCAACATTACAACTCCGCAGGGACTCCAACAATGAAACTGGGCATGCTCAGCAGCCGGGCAGCCTTCAGTGTTTCCTAGGCGCTCCACACCACTGGACAGGACCCGCGTGCCAGCTCCGCCCCGGGGCTTCAACGCCCACCTCTGAGGAGCTCAGGGTTCCGGATTGCACCCTGAGGCCAAACCGCACTCAAGTGGTCCATCCTTAATCTCCAGCCTCCTGAGGGTCAAGAGAGTTTAGAAATAATCTTCACTGAGGGACTTCCTTCCCACCTGTCTTTTCTTTGCAGCCTAATGTGTTTGTTCTAGCTACTGCGGTGTGAGGAGCTCAGGGATGGAGCCCCGAGGCTGATATCCCTGGAGATCACCTTCCCAGCGTAGCTGTTTGTCACTGAGTTTTGGAGATTTCTTGGCCGGCTTCCGCTAAAGCACGCTCGAGTAATCCGAGCTGTGGCAGCGCCCAAGCTCTCCGGATAAAGTGTGTGTGTGTGTGTGTGTGTGTGTGTGTGTGTGTGTGTGTGTGTGGAGAGGGCGGAGATAGAAACGTCAGGCCCCCACCCCAGCCTTCTTTTCTTTTTCCCCTTCCTGCAAAAGCGGCACAAGTCTTCCAGCCCCCTCCCCTTCCCCACCAGCCCTTCTTAGGGCTCTGGGCAAAAGCCAGGTTAAGTCCATTTGCACTGGGAAATTGGCGCTGTTTGGGCGACGAGAAACAGATCGATTGCCCTTGTGACTCCCAGCCCCCCCCACTCCACCCCCACAGGCTCCCTCCCTCTTCCCTCCCGGCCACCTCCCCTCACCCCGCCTCCTTCCCGCTCCCCACCCCCAAACCTCTCGCCCGCGGCAGTCCGGTGCGAGGCCCCCTCCGGAAGGTGAGGGGAAAGGACTGCACTCCGGTGGGGAGAGCGGGTGTCTGGAAGTGGTGCTAATGGGAAGCGATTTCTGGCTTCCAGAGAGGATGCTCTGCCACAAAGAGCGGCTGGCGCGCTGGCCTGGGCTCTAGCCCCGCGGAGATCCCGGGAGAACTCCGGAGCTGGGAGAGCTCCTCGGAAGACCCGGTCACCATGCCTGTTCGCAGGGGGCATGTGGCACCACAAAACACATTTTTGGGGACCATCATACGGAAATTTGAAGGGCAAAGTAAGTTCATTTGTTCTCCTCTCTCCCTCGCTTTCCGCTTTGGTAGTGCACGCTTACTAGCTGGGGAGATGGCAACTCCGGGCTCTGTCAAGTTCCGAGGCTGTGAAATCGAGCCGGGAGGTTCAAAGGCAGCGAGAGTGCTCTCCCTCTAATATTAATTTTGATTTACATTTTAGACTGTGGTCTCCACCAGCACCGAAAGCAATTTGATCCTCCTCTCCCATTGCTCCATTATCTGCCTTGCTACTTAATGTCCTACTATTCTACTATCTTAAAGGGAACGTGCTAGTAGAAGATGCGTTTATATTTTGAATCTGTTTTATTGCACGCTGTTTAAAGTCAGAAGCAGAGCAAACCATACTATTGGAACAAAAGAATGTAAATGTAGTAGTCATGTACATGGCTATGCAAACTATATTTTATGCTGGTGAGCTGCAGGGTTCTGAAATGATGGGATGCTTACCTGCTATCAGTTCCTACAAGCTAAACTTTCTATTGAATCAAACAGAAATGTATGCAAATGTATGGCAAATCAGATCATTTGGAAGGCATTATCCCATCTGTGCTGCTTCCTAAAGAAAACAGCTCATTATTCAAAAGAATGTTTCTGTCCTCTTATTGTCTCCTTAAATTTTCCATCTAGAATTTTAAGACTTGAACTGAAATAAGTAAATCCCACACCGACTAAATGTAGAGAAATTTCATGTACTCATGTGGACTACCAAGAATTATCTCATATAAACATAGTAACTTAGCCTATACTTGTCACTTATATGCAGTTTTCTTCAGTCTACATTAATACACATTTGCATTGTATACTATGCACTTTTTCCATCACTGCATTTAGTAATGTGAGATCTGGTATGTTATGTGCAAAATAGACATATTTCCTTTTTCACTCTCAAGCTGGAAATAGTAAATATAGTTTTATTAAAACAAATGAGTTTTTTGTATTAAAATTTCTACTAGTGTATACAAATTCAAGGTTCTCTCAATGTAAAAGTAAAAAAGCATGACATTACACTGTGCAGGTGTATATGTATATTTTGATTTCTTGAAAATGTACATTTTGAAAAGGTGAACCTTTGCATTATTTAACTGCTAATAAATGTAAAATAGTTTTATTGCTAAACTTAATTGTCTTTTAAAAAACATGATATATATTATACTTTAAAGTGATAGAGAAAAAGCAAATCCAAGAAAAATACTTTGTGAAAGTTGTATTAGAAGGGTCAGAGCGGAAGTGAGAAATTTGACAGCTACAGGATGTTTCACTGTTTTGCTTAGAATTTTTTTTTTTTCCCTTACAGTTAAGTGCTATTCTGGAAATACCAATGGGCCAGCTGCTTGTATGGATGGCCACTAGAACCCCTGGTTGTTACAGCACTTGAAAACCAAACTGCTCAGGAAATTCTATACTTGCCATTTGAATAATGATTTCTTAATACCTTCTTTTCCATAGAACTGTTGATCTCACATTTCAAGTTTATATGGTCTTTTCCTGTGTAATTTTTTTTTTTGTCTCAAGAGATTTGGGAAACTTGCATTTAGTTTAAGCACTTGCTTTTCAGCCCTCATACAACAAATTGCTTCAGTGTGCTTAAGAATTCTGTAGAAATTTTTAAAAAGTTCTTTATCATCTTCTTATTACAGATAAAAAATTTATCATTGCAAATGCCAGAGTACAGAACTGTGCCATCATCTACTGCAATGATGGATTCTGTGAGATGACTGGTTTCTCCAGGCCAGATGTCATGCAAAAGCCGTGCACCTGTGACTTTCTTCATGGACCTGAGACCAAGAGGCACGATGTTGCCCAGATTGCCCAGGCCTTGCTGGGTTCTGAGGAGAGGAAAGTGGAAGTCACCTACTATCACAAAAATGGTAAACTTTTTCTACTCAGGATATCTTGTGTTTTATTCCACTGAAAAGAAATTTTGATTACTAAAAGTTCACTTGCAACCCACTCATATATTTAATTGTAGAAATAGGATTTGCTCATAGTATTTTATTATCGAAGAAATATGGATATTGTCATTAGTGGACTAGAAAATAATTTCTTCTTTGAAGGGGAGTCCTCTGTTCAAACTCTTCAAAAGTGTAGTAGCTTAATATCATTAAGGACAAAATGCCACAAATTAGTCTTGCACATTCCTTTCACTAAATTATAATATACACATAAATAATTTATGCTTGCATTGATATATATTTGGTTGGGAAGAAATGGTCATTTGCTTGAACTTTAAAATACTTTGAAAAGCCTTGTTGAAAACTGAAAAATAAAACTTTTCAACTTATAAGTGTTATTTGGCTCTTTAGGTTTTGCTAGGCAATACCTCTTATTTCCTCTGCTTGTTTTAGTACAAGATTAAAGGTGATGTATATGAACTTGTAAAAGTGACCAAGTAAACCCAGGTATATTCAAATAGTTATGAGTTCAAGACTTTTCTTAAGTTAAGAAGTATAGAACAGGAATTATGTGTCTAAAAAGGTAGTTATTAGGGCTCACTTTTAAAGCTGCAGGAAACTGACATTACAAATTTAAGGTCATACCTCAACTTCAAGGACATCCCTCTTTCTTTCAGGCATTCCATAGCATGGGATACAATTCATATATACATATGTGTGTGTGTGTGTGTGTGTGTGTACATTCCTATGTGTAACTTCTCAGATGTACATATTTTAAATTGTATATATATCCTCATGTGCACACATATAATGATATTTAATAACAGAGTTTCAAGGCAAAATAATTTTAGAAACATGCACATTGTATTTAATTTTCTCAGTAATGCATTGTCATCTATTTTTTTCTCTGTTCCTTTTACAGAAATTAATGAGGTAAAAGAGTTCAGCTTTTTACAAAACTAAGTTTTTGGTAAATATGTAATGTGCTAAAGTGTATATACTATAATGACTCATCATTTAGTAAACTACATAAAACTAGCAGGGAAAAAAGATTAACTGTTCCACTTATTTCCTTGCAGTTAAATATTTCATGATAGGAAATGTACAATTATTAATTGTTGGATTTTCCGTTACATAAATATGAGTGGATAAGTGCAACCAAGTTTTATGGGAAAAACAAGTTTGTGTAACATTGTATTAATCTGGAAAGTGCAATTATATGATTATTAAGCAGCATAAAAATTGTTTTAAAAATTCTTCCCATTTTCTTTCAATTTTCACTCAGTAGTATAGGCATGCTAAAAATAGACTAATTACTTTACAGTCCTGAAAACATTTATTGGACTGAGGCTTTCACTACCCAAAGGCAACTTATCTCTTTTGCATATCTGAAGTCAAGAAACTGTATGTTTAAAATCATGTGAACGTCTGACAGTATCCTCCAGCAGAGTGGTTATTATGATGTTGATACAGTTTATATTGTGGCTCTGCAGGGTGTTGATCCATCTTTAGTCACTATGACTTCTGGGCTGTTCCAGAATTTAACTGCAAAATAAATCTGGTCTGTCCAAATCAGTTAGATCTTAAGTATAGTTTTAACAGTGGTTTCCAGTAAAAATCGTTGCCTATTACTCAGCAACTGAAATGGGAATGTTTTGAAACCTAGTTATTTTATGCAATGTGATTATATAGAATGATCTCAAAACACCTTAAAGAACAAGTTTCACATAGAAACTAAGGGATGATTATAAAAATTTCTGCAGAGAAAATATTAGTATGCTGACTAATGTAAATCTATATCTGAATGATTTGCTTGGTTATATAAATTAAATTCATACAAAGAATCTTTAGTTGGAAGCTTGTTTAGGTAGAGAAATTCCAGCCTTTGGTGATATTTTTGTTTCTGTTGATTTTTTTGCTGAGATGTGACTCAGTCCTAAAGGACTTTTAGTGCTAACAATAAACTTTGACCATCTAGCTTTAATTGATGTAGGAAACCTGAAAGCATTGGCCAAGCTTTTTATGTTTTCCAAAGGAAAACAATGATTAATTAATCTGAATGATATTTTTAGATTGTAAAGATACAGTCATACTTATTTGGTTTGAGTGTAATATTCTTGTGTTTTTGTTGACAGTTCAGATATCTTGAATAGAATCTTCAGAGCATATTGGTTTCATTCACATGGCAACTGCAAAATCAATCAGAGCTTAAGAAGTTTGAATGCTTTGATAGTCTTGCCTGTTACAGACCTACGGCGCTCTATATTAATAGACGCAGAAGGAGAGAAAAAGCCATTTTCATTGGTCTTTTCTTCAAATACTCCTAATTCATTACTATTGGGGACAATTTTTTTTCTTGGTTTCTTGACTCTTTACAGTAAATGCTTCCTTATTTTTAATTTAGCACTTCCCAAGAATCTAACAAGTCATGCGATGAGCACAGTGAGCAAAGTAACAGAAAGCTGAAGTATTTTGTTTCCACTTGTTCCATTCATTGATAATGAAGTAAAAAAATATGAGCAAAGTATTATTTCTGAAAGCTTGTCTCCCACAGTGACCCAGAGGTTTTATACAGTTGAAACCTGTGATCTATGCAATAAGTCCACAATGACACAGCGTACTGTGAGCTGCCTGATCCATTGTGAGCAGCTCTTCCTACCATTACCCTTTTTGTGAGCAGGCTCGATGCAATTGAACTTACTGTTTGCCAGAATATCAGTTTTTAAAAACCTGGTTATTTGCAAGAGGAATATGTGACAGCTCTTCCTTTGAGTATTCTATTTTACAGTTTAAGTCATTATTGCATAAATCATTCTTGGCAGCTGTGAAATACTGCTTGAGGTGATAGAGCTGTAAATCTTTTGACATACAACTCTAATTATACAAAACTATAATTATACTGAGGGTTATATAAGGATGGGTATATATTTTATTAGCATAATACATTCACTTTATAAACAAGTTTTTTAAGCATAGGGGTTGGAAAATAGCAAACACTGAAGTTATTAACTAGTTTGGTTTGTAGATAAAATGAATAAGTGAAAAAACAGAAAAAATAATTCACCATCATTTAGTTTATTGTTCTTCTGGTTTTCACGGCATCATGGCAAAGAGGTAGCTATCTGAAGGGCTAAATCCCTTCAGACATATGTAGCAATAAATAAATTATCAAACAACTTTAAATATTTACAAAAATCAAAGTTGATTTCTCCAGGATAAAGGTCTCCCTTCACTCAGAAAGAAAGCGGCACCTAAAATGTACTGTTTTTAGAGGACAGAGCCATCCTGTATTGTTGCTACGATGCTTCTGGATGTAGTACAAGGCCATGTTGTTAACAAATAAACAATGTATATTGCTAATCTCCTTTTATTTGTGCTGCTTTTAAAGAACTGAAAGATAAGAGGGTCTGAAGGGAATCCTTGCCTGATCCAGACAAGATCAGCAGAAAGTTCCAGAGGCAATATTTGATTATTCTAAGCTCAGAAGAGGTCTTGATTTGATAATGCTACCATCTCTGTGAGTTGAGCAGAGATACTAACAAGTGCTGTCTTTAAGAGGAAGGATGGGCTGGGGATTTAGCTCAGCGGTTGGGTGGCCTGCCTTGCAAGCACAAGGACCCCGGGTACCAACAAAAAAGAAAAAAAAGAGAGGAAGGATGAAGATTCATGTTGAGTGTCACCTCTCTCTAAATAACATATTAAGGAAGAGAAGAGAAGTATAATCACATGAGATAGAAAGGGAGTTACACCCTGATCTGTGCTTTCAGGACATTTGTGTTATAGAATCACTAATGTTCATTTTGATCTTCTAAACCCTTAATGTTTTCATGAAACTGTTTTTAAAGAAACAATAATATATGGACTGTAACATGAAAAGCTCTTAAATATATTTTGGGAAACTACGAAATTTAGGATTAATTACCACTTTTCCTCTATTCTCCAAATTAAAAATAAACTTATGAATGTATACCTCTTTTCAACTTGTGCATGCATAACGTGTCAAGGAAGCAATATACTTCAAAATTTAATAATACAAACATAAGCATTATAATAGCCTTATATAAGCTATATGATACATAATATATTCAGCTCTCCTAATTTTTGGATCCTGTAGTAGAGATACAGATGGTGGCTTTTAAGATAAGAATAGAAATATATTTTTTTGTGTGGGTAATTCAAGCAATAAGAAAGTTTTCCTTGGAGTATGTTCCCAAGAATTTGTTTTAGGGTCATTTTTCACTCTCAGCTATACTTTTTTATGTTCTGTTAAGTAGGATAGTTTAACAGCAGTAACCATGACATACATGGTTTTAACATACCTAAATTTCACATCTTGTGCACACTGTTTGTCATACTTAGCATTTGTTGGTAAAATATCCATTCTGAGGGAACACCTCTCTCCACAATGTAAAAATTTTATGTCACTGTTGTCCCAAGTGAAGCCAAAATGTCCTGAAAATGGGAGTGAATTCTGTTCAGATCATTTACACCACTCACTGGTGCCATACCGGGAAGCAGTCCTGATGTTAGAAAGAAGTGATGTTTTCTGCTGGCTTGAGAGACAGATAACTGCTTAGTAAATTTTATACTAAAAGGGCTTATGCACAGGGTCATATAAGGCTATCTGCACAGGATAAATTTAGGAGGAATAATTTGCTTCTACTAACTTGTGAGAGTTTTTGTTTATTATCGTGTGATGTAAATAGCCACTGAATCAATTGTTGGCAGCTAGCCTGCCAGGACAGTCTTTGGATAGTTTTGTGTTGGAGGCATCACCATTCACTTCGCCATCTTGGGGTATCTCTCTCTCTCTCTCTCTCTCTCTCTCTCTCTCTCTCTTCCTTAAATTCAGGTGGTCACTGAATTTTTTCAGTATTTAAAATGAGAAATACCTCACAGTGCTACCTCTATTTCTCCAACCACTGTCAAGCACTCTGATTAAAGTATACTTAGTTCTTCTTCTGAAGTACTGCAGG